ATTACTTAACCAACTTAGATATGTTTGATATAATCCAATGTTTGTAACCATAAGCTTTGTTTAAAATAAGACAAACAAGTATTAAAGATATGATGTGTTTTATTAGTTGTTATTGGCTTTGAACTAGCTGTCAGTAACTGCAAGTACTCTCAGATCTGTACTTAGTGTCTTTTTTTTGTTTTTGGGATGTATAAGTACCCGTCCACGTCCATTCACGTTTTTGTTAGATGTATTCCTATTTGTATCGATCTGATGAGTCAAGCCTTTTTCAACTGATTTTTATAGTTTGTTCTTATGTTGTACTGTTACACCACTGTTCAAGTTTAGAGGGAGGGTTGAGCGCTCACAAACATGTTAACCCCGACACATTCTTTATGTGCTGTCCCCAATCAGGAGCCTGTAGTTCAGTGGTTGTCGTTGGTTCATGTCTGTCATATTTGCTTTTCGTATACTGTTTTGTTATGAATTATGCCGTTAGTTTTCAAATTGAAATGTTTCAGATTTTTCATGTCGGGGCCTTGTTATGATATTATAACTATCATGTTTATTTAGTTGGCCTAATTTGTTTTGTGTGGCATTATAGTTGTTTACAAAATAATATTGTAACTGTGCAGTTTAGAAATCACTAGAACAATCATAGAGACTGATGGAATGATTAGAACTTTCTATTTGACTTCCATAACTATTCCAGAATGATCATAATAAAAGATGCGTAATTTAAACTTCCTATATTGTTCTAGAAGTTTCCGTTCTACAGTTTTCAAGGAGTTTCCTTTCTACAGTGTTCTAGAAGTTTCCGTGACAACTATATATACAGATACCGAAATTACAGATCAGGCATCAATATTCTCAGAAGTTCTCTGGAGTTTTTTTTACATTGACATTTTTATTCACGTTAACTACATCATACTAGATTGTGACCTATTTGACGTAATATTCTGTTTGGATTTCTGCGAAGAATTCTGGATAAAATTAGACAAAAGATCGGACATATATTTTGACAGTTAAGTTGACATTTTCTATTTGTGTAATGCTTCTTGTAAACTTGTGTATAATAAATCTTGTTGAATTTTATTATTGATTTGTGTCTTTTGTTGACTACAATTTAAAGGTGATTTCTAGCCGTAACAGCCTTTTTTAGCCGAACATACGGTATGGGTTTTTCTCATTGTTGAAGGCCGTACGGTTGCCTTTAATTGCTTACATCCACTACACTTTGGTGGATAATTGTCTCATTGGCAATCATACCACATCTCATTATTTTTATATTCACACTTTGTTGTACTTTTCATTCACTTAAATGTATTTACTTTATAACAATAACTATATTTGTGATAAAACTTGATAAAACCTTTGTTAAATTTGTATCTCAACTGTAATTTTGGTTAGCTAAAATAATAATTTCCTTCAAATCTTTGAAATTATAGCAACACGTGCATATCGCACCAATGATATACTCTGAAAAATAATAATAATAATAAAAATAATAATAATAATAATAATAATAATAATTTATGGAAAAGTGTAACAATTTTGCATGAAGATTTCGGTGAGGAATTCTACTATGAAAGTAAAAAAACGATAAGGATGACGGGTTTGGTAGTTTCAGAAAGTCCAAAAGGGAATATTTCATTTAAGTATTTAGAAAAAAAATCTGGATTTTTTAAAGACAATAAACTATTTTAATCTCTGCCAGTATAAATGACAACGTCTATCAATCGGTATGTCCTTTGGCTTTTGTAAAAAACAAATCTACGGTTTTACAGTTTTAAGAGCAGCACAATCATGACAATTATACCTCAAATATAGAATTCTCTTAAAAAAAAGAAGAAGAAAGAGTTTCAAAAGTATATATATATATATAGTTACTCTAAATATCAGCACAACAATGTTAAATCTGCAAATCTGCGAAAGCAAATTTTTGTTCTTCCCTCGTCAGGATTCGAACTCATGCTATCGGGATATCGAGACAACACCTCCTGCTCTGTGTCCAGCGGTCTAGACCATTCGGCCACCTAGAACAAACTAAATTCATTAAAAAAGAAAAGCAACACGTGAACCAGAGACAGCCGACTGGTAAAAAAAAATTGTTCCTGAATGTTTTTGTTTTTTGATTTGAAATCTATGACTGTGAGTACAATGAGGTAATGGTGATGTTAAAACACATACGTTGAGAATATGTTATTGTGTGTGGATTCTTGCAAAAGTCAATTGAAAGCTTTGTTGGATTTTAGTTGTAAATAGAAAAGTGTATACAGATACAATTTGAATTTACCTTTTAAGACTTGACCATTTTATTTATTTCTTAAAAGTGTGTGTACTAGATATTTTTTTCTTCGTGTTTAATATACATAGACCTAGTAATCCTAATGCGATTCCCAGTTTCTGCAAACTGGATGTCTATAGCAAATTGCTATATAAATTTCAGCACTCAGTTTGCTTATTAATTTGGATGCATTTATTCTATCTTTTATATTATCATATTTGTTTCCTGTACGCCTTCAATTATTATTATACTCATATTGAAGCAGTCTATACTCATGATAGTAGTGGTATAGAGGAATTGAAAGTCCAATTTCATTGTGAAGTGTAATTCTGTGTCATACAACTTATAAGAAGGATTCGTATTTTTTTTCTTGAGAGTAACACACCAGCTTCGTTAGCACCTCATTTCTACCGACAATATTTTGGTCTTATAAAACATCTCAAATTTTAAGGAATTCCTGCAGTTACTTTAATCAATCCAAATAATTAACAGTAAACACTTAGTTTTGAAGAATTTCTTGTTTTCTATGTTTAATGGATACCTGGACATGCTCTCAATGGAACCAATTTATATAAAAAGATATGTTAGTAAAAGTCAATAAACTAATCATAGATACCAGGATTTAAATTTTGTACACCAGACGTGCGTTTCGTTTACAGAAGACTCCTCAATGACGCTTGAATGGAAAAAAAAAGTTTAAAAGGGTCAAATAAAGTACGAAGTTGAAAAGCATTGAGGACCCAAAATTCCGAAATTAAAAGTTTTCCCAATTACAGCTTAGGTAATTCCTGGGGTAGAAAACCCTAAATAATTTGAAAATTTCAAAGTTTATAATAGGAAAGTCACTCAAAACAAAAAAGAAAAAAACTGGAGGTCAGAATACCAGGCATGGGGCGAATTACACTGCAATGTAATGCATTATATTACAATTACTTTAACAAAACCATGCTTTAAATTACAATTACAATTACATGCATTTATCAAAGTTTAAAACTTATTTTAACTTAATGTTAACTTTACTTTTATAAATATACATTTGTTTTTTTTAATTTCAATCAAAATATTTACTGAGAATTTCTTTCCTAATTATATAATGAACACAGAGCTTAATTTATGACCAAGTGTCAAAATGGTGAAAAGATTGATTGTCAAACAAGCTAATTAGTGTTTTATGACAATGTTCAATTATCTATTATTTAATCATGATATTCATTGATCTGTTGACAACAATGGAATACAGTAATGCTTTTCAAATATCAATCTTTTTATGCAGGAAAAGTATGAAAATGTATGAAATAAAATGAAATAAAAAAAAAGAACTCAATCTGATCATGAACAATAGATATACTGTTCCCAGATCTGATATACAGTGTTGTGTTATTCATTTAGAATTGTAATTTCGTCATTCTAGTATTTATACCAATTTTTCTCAAGTTCTTCCTGGAGCAAGGCTTAATCTCCAAATTCCCTCTAGTGATTTATGTAAAGGGTGAAAAATAAAAATAAAATAGTAAAATCAATATTCAAATGATTATGTTCTTAGTTAATCAAGAAATTTTAAATTCTGCTTTAGTTAGTTATTCAAAAAAAACTTTTTGCTTAAGTAATGCATTAAATTACAATTACATGTAATGCAAAAATTGCTGCATTACACATTACATACAATTACTTGGAAAAATGTAATGCATTACCATGCATTACAATTATAAATTTGCATTTCCCCATGCCTGCAGAATACCTTAATGATAACCATGCTTCAAAGTCACATGTCAAGCTCTTACTGCCGTGTCCTGAATTTTGTTAAGAAAGGCGAAAATTCACATTCCGTGAGTGAAATTAATATTTATGCAAGCACATGGTTTTCTTGCGCAAGAAATAGTATTGCTTGATTGATTGACTATTGGTTGCTAAACGTCCAGTGGCAAATATTCATATATGTTCAGGACGAGAACAAATTAACAATAAATACAATATGTAGGTCCGTCATATATTGGATAGGGACACAAATTGTGCCTTGCAACATGTCACATACGGATTCTTTAAAGAATTTTTGCAAAGGTTTTTAACGTGCAATAAGCGTGGAATTTTCTTTACACAAAGCATCGTATTTAACGTTCAGTCATTCAGACGGGACGTGGCTGTGTACTTTTACATCCAGCACATACAAACGGACGCACCATTTTGGCAAGGGTTTTACTGCCGGTTGGAAGAAGATCAAGAGTGACCATATTTCTATTCTCCAGTCACCCTTGGGGATTAGAAAATTGAAATCGTACGCACTAACATTCTGGAATAAAGATAAAAATATGCATTTGCGTTATCACGTTTATTTATCCTAGGCTCAAATCTAATGAAACTTAGTTGAATTCGGATGTCAAACTATCTACCTCAAGTGGTTTGACTCTGGATTCTTTGTCATTTAATCCGGCATTTGTGTGAACGCAGACTGATATTGTTGTCAAATCGGTATTGTTGTGTTGTGGGAACAGGTTGCAATATCATTGAAATCAATGCATATAATTTTCAAAATTGCACCATTTTGCAAAAAATTAGAACCTGCAAAGTTGAACTATTAAAAACAAAACAAAAACAAAAAGAATTGAAATTTAATTAACATATAATCCTGCGAAGAAAAAATTTCCGAAAATTTTAATTTCAGTATCAATAAACACAAACGTCAAGTATTTTTTAATGATGGATATTTTCTGTCAACTTATTATCTTCATTAAGTCCAACTTTCCATTTCATGAATTTATTGCTACTAGTATACAAAATATGAGCAGAGATTTATAAAACCATACTTAAATTGTAAGAAATAATTAGCGTAGTAATTAATTAAATGATTATTGTAAAATAATTTAATTTTGGATGTAACGCGTCTTCTGATTGGCTGACGTTGTTTTGTTTATCAGCTCATAGACATAATTTTGTCATGTGACCGTGACGTCATCAACGTTTTTTCATGGTTTACTCCGGTTTAAAATGAAATTTAGAATTAAATTATAAGAAATGACTGTAATATTTTTTCTGTCTATGCGAAATAACATAAAAAATATGGTGCACACTTTAAAATAACCCGCTACGCGGGTTGTTCAGTGTGCACCACATTTTTGATGTTATTTCTTCATAGACAGAAAAAATATTACAGTCATTCCTTAAATATTAATTACGTCTTTAAACATCGTGTAATTTCTAGAACTGAAATGCAGGAGTGTCGTGAAATCAACAACGAATCTTGTTTCTTGATGCATGACTTACAAAGCGACAAACGATACAAAATGGTATTTACAGCATGTAATATATACTATTGAGGAATACAACAATATTTATATTGAATAATTAAATATATAATGCGTATTTAAAAAACGATTTTCATTAACATTGACGATCTCGAAAAACATAAAGTTAACGAGTCTTCTTTTTTTTTCATCTATATCCGCATACCCCTACAAAATATAAAAAAATAACAAAATTATTTGTATATTTGGCGATGTAATGTATGTAATAAAAACGCCAATGAGTCAGTTTTATTTGAGTATAATATTAAGCTGAGAGAAATAATCATTTATAGTATTATTTTGTATATTCTAACTAATCGGATTCTTCAGAATAAGTCACATGTTAAACTGTATTTTCAAAGGTAGACTGAAAACAGTAGACAGTGTAGAAACGAGATATTGCACAGTTATTTTTCGAATATCTATAAATTGAAATCTAAAAAATTCAAACCTTAATATAACACAATAAAAACAACCAATCAAATGAATCTCTATTTCAGGCGTATTGAAAATAATAATATAACAATTTAAGCCTTAGAATGACACGAGGCTACATCGACACGAAAGAAATATATCGACTGAAGACAGCCTCTGTATGAGGTCAATACCTACGAGGATATATCGACCTAAAGAAGTATATCGACCTAAAGAAATATATCACCCTAAAGAAGTATATCGACCTCGGACTTCGTCTACAGTCGAAATACTTCTTTCAGGTCGATATATCCTCGTATCTGCCCCATACAAAGACTATAATAGTATATGATTACTCAATTTCTACATATTTCTGGTAATGTAAACCACGATTATTCTTAATAGGTGTGTGCAAAGCCAGAAACCCATAGCCCCTAGCTGGTTGTCGCAATCTTAGTATTATATGGGTCATTTTAAAAAAATGTCGAATTTTCAGTACACCCATGCTAAATTTTTTATTTCTAATGGAAATTTCAGTTGTAATTGTTTAAATGAAAGCTTGTAGGATTTATGATTCAGAACATTAATAATAAACACGATTTACATCTATTTTCATAAGATTAAAATGTATTTAAGTCCGATTTTTGGGTAATTTGTGTGCGTACAGTTTCAGAAAAACACATTTCAAATGATTTTTTTCCGATTTTCTGATTGCCTTGATATCTGCAAAAGGGACTTTTTAAGAACGTTAATAATTACTCTAACGAAAAATCGTAGCTTCTTTATCATTATATGTAACATTTTATCTACAAACTTAATTCAATCCGCGTACATGAAGTTCATGTCCATCCTGTTACCGCTACTTAAATCAGCCGTTAGATTATTCTCCCTATGAATATTGAATTAGTCAGTGTTGATTTCAAAAGTGCAAAGTAACCTTTACATTTAACACAGCACGTTTCTTGAACGACAGTGTAGAGAAAAGAAATTTCAAGACATTTAGTGAAAAAAAATAGAGGGTACTTTTTTTCATGTCTATGCTGTTACCAACAATTTTGATTAATTACGCCAAAAGTATACTTGTAAAAAGTGCAATAACGTGTTGGAAACCAAATTCACAACAGAAAAACATTATCACCTCACCAAAGGGAGTAGTTCTTTCACAACAGCATTCGAAAATGAAGAAATTTGTCTATCCTGTTATGTCTATCCTGTTACTATGGTTGCTATGGTTACAGTAACAGGATAGACAACTGTAGACAGAAACGTCGTTAAAAAGTTTATCATAACATATAGTTGCAAACAGAATGAAATCTTTTGTTGTTTGAACTCATATTAAGGTTATAACGTCTTAATCTTCCCAATTTAGTATTTGCAGGTGCAATACTGATATCGGTAACAGGATAGACAAAAAGGTAACAGGATAGAACTTTATATAGCGATATATCATTAACGTACGTTCCTGTTACCGATAAAATAAAGACAAAAGTAAACTAGCATGTGAGGGATTTACTTGATGTTGGGTTTATTTGAAAAAGAGAAAAAATGCCGAACAATATGAATTGCTATCTTAGACTTGCATTACTGGTGGTAATTTTTACAACCTTTGAAAACCAATTTTTAGAGGCATTTTTCAGTACAACCTGGAAAATTTGCAAATAATCTATTATTTCACAAAATGAATATATATAGAAGTTTATTCTCTTGAAAACCATATAATTGGCTACGAAAAACAAGCTTAACATTTTATCTAAACCTTTTCTTAATAACCCAAAATTTCTTTTGAAAATGGTAACAGGAGAGACAAAATATTGTACTGACATTATTAAGATTGCATCTTTTAATATGTTGTTCTATAAGTACTGTTTGTTTTGATTTGCTTATGTAGAGGGTTGTTTGAATAAGTAACTTTTAGTAAATTTTTCAATTTCAAAATTCGACAGTTTTTGAAAATGACCCATATAGTGTTTGTAATATATAGTTTATACGATTGACTCCGTCACATAAGATCGTTAATTGTCTTTCTATATCAAACTTTAATACATAATTAAAATTTTAACATTATCTAAAATTTACCCTAGGTCTACCTCTTTAAAAGAAAAGAAAATATATACTTTATATATTGAGATTGATTGATTGATAGATTGCTATGTACGTCCATACATGTCATTGTCATATTTTTAATGAGCTGACGGAAAAAGGTAAATAACCTTTTTTTCTAATATTTAGGTACATGTAAAAATACCAAGATTTAAGATATATCATTTTTTTAGAGGTTAATTCATTCACTGGGTTTGATATTCCAGTATATGTATACGCTTACCATGTTTTTTTCTCTTCATATAAACATATATCCATGTTAATTACTTTTCATTTTGTGGGCCAAAATTTTATGACAACGATCGAATCATAGTATATCATGACTGGCAATCATTTGATATTGAAGTCTCATCTTTTTTCTCTCAATTTTGTCTCTTTATATATGTTTTTTGAAGCAGAAAAGTGATGAAACCTGTCAGGTCAAAATGCAATCTTCCAATATCAAATCGTCTTATATACTACAAAAAAAAACCAGAATGTCTCACCTTTATCACAAAAAAGGAACTTCAATAAAACCTGTTCCAATACATATATTTTACAAAATTGCTAACCTTTTTCACCAAACGGTGGTTCAATTATTCCTGTTCCAATACAATCTAATGGGTATCTACATGGACACCAACCAAGGAACACGACGTTTTTAGCATTTTGGTTTCTCACTGCACATTCTATAAATTAAAACATACTTATGTCAGAATACGGAGACTATACATTGAAATGTGGTCAAACATGTGTCATATTTTCACTTTTTATTTGAAGTGAATATAATATATGTATGGCAGCTGTAATTATGTTTAAAAATTAATTTGTAGGTTATGTATTTAACAGAAGTTCAGTTGCAACTCATTAAGGTTTTATTTACCTTATATGGTCTGAGTAAAGCCATTTCAATTGATATTTTATAGTGTGTCTTTCTATGTTTTGAGGATACACTATTGTTTCAGGAAGGATGAATGTTGGCGCCTATTAAAACGTTTAAACCCGCTGCATTTGTTTGCACCTGTTCTAAGTCAGGAACCTGATGTTCAGTGGTTGTCGTTTGTTGATGTGGTTCATAAGTGTTGCTCGTTTCTCGTTTTTTATATAGATTAGACCGTTGGTTTTCCTGTTTGATGGTTTTACACTAGCCATTTTTGAGGCCCTTTTTAGCTTGCTCTTCGGTGGAGCCAAGGCTCCGTGTTGAAGGCCATACTTTGACCTATAATGGTTTACTTTTACAAATTGTGACTAGGATGGAGAGTTGTCTCATTGGCACTCATACCACATCTTCTTATATCTATTGGATATACACTTGGTTCAATAGCTCCTGTCGCATGTTTCTACAGCCGCCTATCTAATTATTAAATGATTTTTACTAATTAACTTGTTTCAAACACAAACGTATCTGACCGTAACGGAAATTTGAAATATATTTTTTATGACCTCTTTAAACTAAATCCGTTGGATGTGTACTTCTTGATACTTGAATCCGGGAGAATATTTGGAGAACATGAGTTATTTTAGTTGGAATTGACTTGGAACTTGTTTTCAGTAACAGCAAGTACTCTCAGATTGGTACTTTGTAAATTTTGCCTTTATGTTAATTGTTTTTGTGATTCGTGCCAATCTGATAAATCAAGTCATTTCCAACTGATTTTAAGAGTCTGCCTTTATGTTATGCTGTTCCACTGTATCTAGCTGCGTGAGAGTTGAGTGCTCACACACATGTTAACCCTGTCCACACTTTTATGTGCCTGTCCTAACGTTGCTGCTACCCGGCATATTTTTTTTCGTTTTTATTGGTTTGTCATAAATCTGGTTGGTTTTCTCGTTTGAATTATTTCATATCTTTCAAGCCTTTCAATTACTAGACTTAAAAATACGTGACTAAACGGTCTGACAATTCGTGGAAACGATGTATAGTACTACCAAACACGTGCACTTTGAAGGTAAACAGAACAAAATGCTGTTCTATAGTTATATCACTTTCTATAAGATCTATGACTAAAGTATTTTTCAGCTACATCAGTGCACATATTTACATTTACTATATCTGGTTAGATTCAAATGCCATAACTGCTCTTATATTTTTTTGTTATTAAACTAGGTATGACATATAAGATAGAAAATTTTCATAAATTGATTTTAAACATGTATTGTGATAATGCAACTAACACAATTATACATCGATAGTTTACAAAAGAACGTAAAAATGTTGTACCTGATTTCCGTTGGCCATATGGTTTACAAATTCCAGCGAAACGCATGGATCTTTTCTTTCGTCCTCTAACTTGATCATTGGCACAGCATTGATTAAAGCCACATTCCTTTGAATTATTGCATTCTTTAGGCTGAAATGCGTATTTGTTTCATTAAACATAATTAAAAGACAAACAACAAAATTCGGTCGTGTAGGTGGTTGTACCAAAATGAAATTTATGACAACATTTAAAAATATCTTAAATGTTGGACATCACTATTATATAGCAAACCAGTTGCGTATGCAGTGACTGTTTCTTTCGGAATACTTTCCAAATGGTTTGTATAATGTATTGGTGAGAAAATCCAAAGTCTTTTAATTAGTCAAATTAGTCCTATCAGCTCTTGATATATTTTATAAACACTTGCATTGACGACTGTTTTCTATTTAAATGTTTATTAGCTATTTATTTTGGGATTGCTGCCGCGTTGACGTAAAGCCCTTATCTCCTTATATTCGTACCTATACAACTATTTTGGGATTTTCCTGCTGTATTTAGGGAGATTTTAAACAAGACATGAGATATGGAATATTAATATTTGAATGGCACTTCTACTATACTTGATATTATAAGTCATCCTTTTGGTTACTAATTCTAGTATCACAATTGAACATGGTATCTGGTTTTTTCGGTAGCAGTTAAACTAGTCTGTTTTGTTTTTGGGCGACCTCATCTAACGATATGTTGGAAAATGAATATTACATTGTTTTCTTTTTTAATTCAATGCAATAAATTTTAAATTAGCAGTACGTTTACCTTCTTTGTCCTTAATGCTTCGCCTGCAAAAAAGTTTCATAAATGTGAACTGTCAATATAAATTATTATAAGTTTGTTTTGCTATGAAAGAAACTCAATTATATGCACGTATAACATCAAAAAGCCAAAACAAAAATAAACAATCGAAAATATATACATTCACACAAATTAAACTAGGAGAGACATATTCTATAAATTCATAATTAAAAAAAAAATCACCAGAAAATAGTGGATACCAAGGTGACACGCCAGCTCATTATAAGTCGATGAGAAACTGACAACGCAATTACAAAAATTAACAAAAGGAGATGACGAAAAGACAAATAAAGTCCACAAATTAGTTTAACACTACATGCAAAACTGATGACTGATCAATATTGCTAAATTCATAACAACTTAAACATGTAATGTTATTTGTGCATTTTTATTTCATTATATAACTCATATTACCCGTTGAGATAAGATATACAAATAAAAATTCTATTTTGACCCTTTTTTGTTGTTCAGTTGCTGTCTTATGGATGTTTGAACACACTTTCAAATCAGATTGAATGAATCTGTATTGCAACAATATTACTGTAGCAAAATAAAAAAAGTAAATACATATATGACAGAATACAGAGAACAAACAGATATAACTTATTATAACAAACACAAAATAGTAACTGATTATCTGTGAATTTAAATTCCAATGCCGCCTTTAAAAAGTTACATAGATTCTTTGTTAAGCTTTTTGACCCAGCTTGTAACAAAAACTGTTGCGTTTGTGTTTTTTGCCATGAAATAATAATATTCTGGCAAAAAGATACATCTAAGGGTTGTATATACAGGACAAATCAACACAAATTGATATATTCTATATTGTTCATATTAAAATGTCTACAAAAACGATATTATATGCTTTAAATTTAAAAAAAATCTGAAATACTGATTTCTTTGTACTGACAATACGCATTAGAATTCATATATTTTTATCACAACAGATTCATTTTGAACATAAAATACATTTATTTTCATGTTGCGAAATTTGAATTATTTGTTGGATTATAGTTCGTCATAATTTTCTTACTATGATTTTAAAAAAACCCAAATAATTTGCATTACAAAAAGTCATTTCTAAATTAAACTTTTAAAAATCAAAGGCAAAATAGAAACTTCGGCATATCTAATGGCATAAATTTCAACAAAGTATACATGTTTGTGCATTTGCATATTAAGTACTTAACAATGTTCGTGACACCTTAAACCGTAAGAACATTTTCTGACTTTTGGAATATGCTTTATTTAGTGAGAAATTAGATTTTACATCGCGCCATTCGTGCGTTTCAAAAATGCAAATGAAATTGCTAGCTTGTCAATTTAAGTAACTAGACCGACTATTTTATATCAGTTTGTTGTAGATAAAAAGAAGGAAAATACTTGCCAATATATTATATTTTTGACTTCTTAAAATTCTTGTTTAATGACAATACCTAAATTCTAAATTAAAATGTATGCCATGATTAAAGAAATACATGTATACAGACAAATCAATTCATTTTTCAAACTAATGTACATTAAATTTCAAACTCACTTTTTCCTATTTGTTCGAAAAGGGTAATAGTCACACAGAAACAAAGTACCAGCAGTCCAATACGAGCTTCCATCTTGACAAACAAGTATAAAATATCAGTACTGCAATTATTTACCTTTTTATATATAATGTAATAACTATTTTTTCATGACATTCTACCTGAACAATGTCGTATAAGGATGTGTATGTTTATTTGTTATTTTTTTTAACAAATAAAAAAAAAACAACAGTAAACAGGATATGTTTTTATAACGTTTTTAATGTATTTGTAACATGGGGGAGATTACCTGAACGGTTATTAAAGTCAAGCGTATTTTTTTATTGTGCGATTAAGTAAAGTAAAATTGATGACGGGCTATCAATTCCAAAAACAGATGAATTCAACATGGATTTTGGTCACTTAATAGAGGGTTGCCTACGTGGCTATTACTAAATACTTTAGTATCAAGCATTGGATTAAAAAAAAAAGATAACTTAGTCTTTGGGGAATTGGCCAGAAAGAGTGCTAAGATTTGCATGGCGGGTGATGCATGCATCCTTTTGGAGTTCATGCGATTCCCTCATTTTTAGATTGTGACCTTAATTTGTCTTCTTAATTGATGAGATTTGAGCGGTAAACTACAGTCACCTAAATATACACCAACGATACTATTTCTAGAGACGACAAAGAGTAATAAAAAACCATGTACAATAGTTCATTCGACTTTTTTTGTGAAAGTGTGAAGATATCTACACTTACCCTATGTATATATTATAGTACTTCTGATTGGGTAGCTAATCATACAACAGATAACCACTACAGTTTTGAGTGCTGTAGTTGATTGGCTAACCAATCAAAATCATAATCTTCCGATATTCATTTATAGATAACCTCACAGTTTTGAATCTGAAATTATTCAAATACAAACGAAAAACAAAGTTGACGTAAGCATATTCCATTTCACACATAAACTGTGAATATCCATCTTGAATTTGAAATTAATTCTCAAATAATCCTTCACTATTTCATGTAAATGTATTCTTTTTCGTAGCTTCATTTGTATATCATCCATTACACTTAAAAACACTTCCTGACTCAAGAATGTTTGATATTTTGTTGAACGGGTCTTTCTAAATGTCTTGCTCTGGAATACCGGATTGGTACAGCTTCCTGACACTTGACTTTTTTTTTTTTAAATAACCTTCTATCATAGCCTCAGAATACATAGTTTTCTTTAACCATTGTTGACACTGTATTAATAATACAATAGTCGTGTTTTACGGGGTTCCATTAACGACAATTCGAGGTTTCTTTGACGTCACTTTATTACATATAAAGTAAACGTAGGAAAATAACCCTGCAATAACAATAGCATATGCTTATAACATTTATCAATATCATAGTCTTAAGAAAAGTCTTATACTACAACAATACAAATACTGTTGTAAATAACAATGTTACAAGATCGTATGTTTTTTTCATTTCATAACATGCAACAAACTTGCAATTATATTTCTACATACAATTACATGTATCTGATAAGTCGTATCAAATATCATAGGATTATAATCAACCAAGCGTATTAAAAACAAGTCGCATGTATCACTAGTGTCAAGCTATCCAGCAATTCGGCATCCTGCAATTGCGAAAGTACTTGAGCGACAATTTCATTTTTTTCACAATGATGGTTTTTAACTTTTTTGTTAAAAAAACCTCTTATATAGAGAATCAAAGATTGTTATATCCCATTAACAAAATTTATAACTTTTGTTTACAGATTTCTAACTCATATTTACGGTTTTGTAACTAGCATTTACAATAGAAAAAAAAATCATGATGACGATTCAAACTAATTGCTATCTGTTAATTCCATGATGTGATTCGTATTAACACCTATTTAATCCACATTTGCGATTCTAAACTCGTAGTAACGACTTTTAAATGTAGAATTTTGATCTAAAATTATTTTTTTCGTATAAAACCGCCAAGACAACTTCTATTTAAACCTTCATAACTAACATTTGCGATTATGTAACTCACATTTATGGTTTTACAACCTGCTATTTTAATAGAAAAATAGTGATGACGATTCCAATAAATTGCGATATATCTAGTCCATGATTATGTTCGTATTTACGCATATTAATCCCACATTTGCGATTTTCTTACTCATCTATTACCGACAATAAAATTTCTGTTCACATCAAAACTCATATTTGTGACCTTATGAAAATTATTAACGACTTCACAACTTACAATATTGAGTCGAAACAAAAACTTGCAACTTTTGAATATTCCGGCATACCTGACCAGTAATTCACATTAACGATGTGTAAAAAGCAATTTATTTCTCGGTGTAATACCACCAAATCATAGTATTTACTCAAACATACCGGAATAACAGTATTTTTAAATCTACCTAAATGTGAACAATTAATTTAATGGATTTTATATTATGGTAGGGGTAAGCATTTTAAAAGGCCGAAATATCTCGTCCGAAACATTGAAAAAGTCATATCCTATAAAATGGGCATTGGGGGGTACCCACTTTCTAACCCATTGTCTTGACAGATATTTATGACTAATTATTATAGACTTTGCTTTAATAAATAGCAATAGCTATCGGATAGTACTACAATGGGATGGTATCGTCTTTCTAGGGTTAGCATTTTTAAAGGCTGAAAAAAATCGTCCCGAACCACTGAAAAAGCCATATTCTATAAAATAGGCATTGAGGGTACGAACTTTCCAACCCATTATCTAGGCAGATATTCATGGTTAGGGATTACAGACTCTACTTAAATAGACAGCTTTTGAATAGTAGTACAGTGGGATGGTATCGAATATCTGGGGTATGCATTCTTAATATCCGAAAAAAAAAAATCGTCCGAAACATTGAAAAATGCCATATTGTATAAAATGGCCATTGGGGTTACCAATTTTCCAACCCATTTTGTCGCCAGATCTTTATGGCTAGGGATTATAGACTATGCTTTAATTAATAATTGTAGGATAGTTATACAATGTGGTAGTATCGAATTTTTTTAGTAAGCATTCTTAAAGGCTGAAAAATTTCGTCCGAAACATTGAAAAGGCCATATCCTGTAAAAAGGGCATTAGGGTACCCACTTTCCAACTCATTGTCTAGGCAGACCTTTATGGTTAGGGATTATAGACCCTGCTTTAATAAATAGCTATTAGATAGTTATACAGTAGGATGGTATCGATTTTCTTGGGTAAGTACTAGTTCTAAAGGGCCAAACAATTTCGTCTGAAACATTCAAAAAAGCCATATTCTATAAAATGGGCATTGGGGGTATCCACTTTTCCACACATTGTCTACGCAGATTCTTATAACTAGAGATTATATTAGACTCTGCTTTAACAAATAGCTTTTGTAAAGTACTACAGAGGGATTGTATCGAATTTCTGGGGTAAGCTTATCCAGAAAAAGAATCGTCCGAAACATTGAAAAATGCCATATTGTATGAAATGAGCATTTGGGGTACCCACTTTTTAACCCATTGTCTAGGCAGATCTTTTTATGGCAAGGGAGTATAGACTTTGCTTTAATAAATAACTATTGGATAGTATACAGTGGGATAGTATCGAACGTTTGGGTTAACAATTCTAAAAGGCTGAAAAATTTCGTATTAAAAATTGAAAAAAAAAACATAATCTATAAAATGGCCATTGGGGGTACCCACTTTCCCACCCATTGTCTAGGCAGATCTTTAAGGCTAGGGATTATAGACTCTGCTTTAAAAAATAGCTTTTGGATATTTGTACGATAGAATGGTATCGAATTTCTGGGGTAAGCATTTTTAAAGGCCGAAATATTTCGTTCAAAACATTGAAAAAGTCATATCCTATAAAACGGGCATTGCGGGTACCTACTTTCCAACCCATTGTCTTGACAGATATTTTTAACTAATTATTATAGACTTCGCGTAAATAAATAGCTGTTGGATAGTACTGTAATAGGATGGTATCGACTTTCTGTGGTGAGCATTCTTAAATGCTGAAAAAATACGTTCCGAAACATTGAAAGATGCCATATTGTATAAAATGGGGTTTTGGGGTACCCACTTTCCAATCCTTTGTCGGCTGATCCTTATGGCTAGGGATTATAGACGCTGCTTTAAATAAATAGCTTTTGGATAGAACTACAGTGGAATAGTATCGAATTTTTGGGGTAGGCATTCCTAAAAGGCCGAAAAAAATAAATATTTTTTTCCAGTCATACTGTGAAATGTTAAGTTTATGTCTATATTGACTG